TTCTTTCACAGCAGCCTATGCTGACAAATCAGCAGACTGGAAGTCCTTGAGAGAGTTTCTAGGAGAGATTGTTTTCAAGACAAGAAATAATGAGAATTAACAGCAGGGGGCAGAGAAAGCCGTAGACAGGTAAACAGAGAAAAAAACCAAATAATCGCAGTTTCTGAGATTCTTCAGATCAAGGAAATAAACTCTCCTGTATAACTTGGTGTAACTAACTCTCCAGAATTTTACTTATTAGAGTACCCAACAATGATGGGATATTCAAGAGGCTTGGTAGGTGAAATTATGTATATGCATGTGCTGAGCCGGAATGTAAGCAAGATGATTTTAAAAGAACTTTTAGAATATCAAGCACAATTAATTTTGAAAAAATTCACTTTTCCTTGGAATAGCAGAGGTGACATTCTAATACAAATACTTTTCTATCCATTGATAAGACCGATATTTTTATATTTGGTCATAGAAAAATAAGGGACCAAATAGCCACAGTAAAAATGAATCTAATAACTAACTTATGACACTACTAGGCTTTTATTGCTGTATGTTAACATAAAGTATAGACAATATTTCTTTTAAAAATAAAACTTACATATATATGGGTTTCATGCATATTTAGGGATATATATATCAGTATAAATATCTTCTTATATATACATACAGACAGGCAGTCCCTACTTTGTATAGTATTGTGGGACTGAAATAATGACCATGCAAAATAATTTTAATAAGCAATGGAAGAAGTTATAATTAATTTGCTGCATTCAAGCATTTTTTTGTCAGACTATTAAAAACTCTTACTGACAGTTTTAAGTGTGTAGAAAAATGAAAAAAAAAATGGCCAAGCTAACATTTATTCCATACCCTGTGATTTAAAATAGAAACATTGAGAATTAAATGTTCTCTTTCTTTGTAAACATTTTATCAAGAGCAGTTGTGCTATGGACTCGACGTATGTGTTTCCCACAAAGCTTATATTGATGCACTAATCCCCAATGTGATTAGTGGGGCCTTTGGGTGGTCATTAGTGTTAGATCAGGTCATGAGTGTGGGACACTCATGGTGCAATTAGTGTTCTTACACAAAGAGGAAGAGGCCAGAGTTTGTTCCCTCCCTCTCCCCTTCCTCCCTCTCTCCCTTCCTTCCTCCCTCCCTCTTCTTCTCCTTTTCTCCCTCCCTGTCTCCCTCATTGGTCTGCAAGCCAGCAAGAAGGCTCTCACGAGAACTCGACCATGGTAGCTTGTACGCTGATTTCAGATGTCCTAGTCTCCAGGACTGTGAGAAATAAGTGTCTATTACAGCTGTGCACCACACGCCTATGCTGGTCCCATAAGATTATGCTACCATATTTTTTACTGTGACCTTTTTCTGTGTCACACAGATGCACAAATACTATCATGTGAGTTGCCTACAGTATTCAGTCCAGTCACATGCTGTGCAGGTTTGCAACCAGGAGCAATAAGCTACACCATGGAACTGGGGCATGTAGTAAGTCACACCTTCTGTATTGTGCAAGTTATGTTGTGAAGTTTGCACAAGGACAAAATTGCCTAACAATACATTTCTTAGAACACATTCCCATCTTGAAGTGATGCATGACTATATTTAAGCCACTCAGTTTAGGGTATTTTGTCATTGCAGCCCAAGCTAAGACAAGTTTGATCAGTGTTTGCCACCAGCTTTTTGTCCTATAACTTGGAGAAGTTTGGATCAGCTACTAATATTTTATCCTTTGCACTTCTGATGTTGCAAAGTATCTCCAAGAACTCCTTTAATATGACAAATCTTGTCAGAGTCTCTCCCTCTAAGACATCGTCATCTTTTTCATCACAAGCTTTTTCCTTATGTATTATCAATAAACTCACTTTCACTGTCTCTCTGGTTGAGTTTCCAGAGTCTCTTGGACACCAGTGGCAGTGTCCACACTTCCGAGGTTAGCTATGTTTGTATAACTCTACCATGCCAATCAAATTTCATTTTTAGAATTATCACCTTTTTTGACTTTGCTGCAGTTCCATCTTTGTTGACCAGATCCTGTTACAATTATACATTTCTGTGAAATGTCACATGGATGTATTACTGGGAGACAAGGAGTCATCACGACTACATGCTTTGCTGCCTGTGCATGAACAGAATAGCTAGTGTGCAGTGATCAACCACTGGAAGATTCTGAAAAAGGTGGCATGACTGGGATGTGGCCATCTGTACACGTTTATAAACTAATGTGTGGATGGAGGAGCCAGCAGCAATTTGCACATTGTATCGTTACTCCCAGGTAATATACCAATAACTAAGATTTGAACGCTTTTGTTGGGGGAGTACTATTAGTTAACTAGGCCATGGTAATTGAAATTTCTGAAAAACAGAAATACACAAAGCAATCACATGCATACACACAACACACACACACACTAGTCAATGGATCATAACCCGGTCTTATATTTCAGTTATTTTCCTATTTTTTCTGCCTAGACTTTTTCCTTCTCTATTTCTGCTTGTAAATTATGGTCTCTTCCTTTATTATTGTCTGGAAGAGAAGACCTAGGAAGTTCTCTAAACAAAAGTTTTAGCAAGTTCCTTTTTGCTCTCCATGGATAGACAGTTCTCTGGCCAGTCTGTCACAAAAGCATTTTGGGACATAGTTGGTGATAGGTAGGGTGGCCATCTTTTTTCAGATACAATAAGCTTGCTTTCTAATGTCATTCGTGGGTTTCTCATACTTATAAGAACACATCAGTAGTACACAAGTTGACAAACTGAACTCTGAGGAGCACTTGAATATGTTTAAGGTTTAGCAGCAAAATAAGTCTGTGGTGGATCGAATGAAAGAATGGCTGTGCTCTCCACCTGTCTCTGTGTCCACCCATTTGTAGTGTGACTTGGTAGCTCCTCCCCCACTCCTTGAATCTGGACTGGGCTTGGAACTGGCCTTGGTCAACTGAATGAGATGGCCAAGTGACAACGTGCTAGTGCATTGCATGCTTCCACTTGCTCGGGCCACTCTGCCAAAAACCCTTGCTTAGCATGATGGAGTTTGAGAAACCACACAGAACAGAATGCAGTTGTCCCAAGAGAAGTCATCCTGGACTGGCATACAGCCAGACAACTCTCGTGTTGTGTAAGAGTCCAGTCAAGATCAATCAGAACCTCTAGTGTGATCACGGATGCCTAAATGAGCTCAGACCAGAAGAAGGACTCAGCTGAGCCACAGACTAGTGAGGGCTAGGGGATGCTGATCATCATCACATAGCGCTTTTGGGCTTTTCCATTTTAGCAACAGTCAAATCATGCAACATCGTTTGTGGAGTCACTGCCTTTTTATTCATGTCAGCTGCGGCTGTGATCTATTATAAAAATGTCCTTTGCTTAGTTCGCAGAGTGAGTGGCGGGTCGAGTCTGAGCCACGTCCTCCTGCTGGGACTTTAAATGGACCTCTCAGGGTGGTGGCGTCAGAGGTGCTGACGTGTACAATCCGGACAGGCAGTGCTGGGGCTATCTCTCCAACAACTGTGTAGTCAGCACATTGAAAATCACCTGGTGTACAGTCATTCCATATGTGTGAATGAATGAGGGCTGAAAGTGCTTCACGACAAAGAGTGCTATCTCTAGGGACACCCAACTAGAATCCAAAGCATCTCACTATTTTGGAAAGGTTTTCGTTTTTTGTTTTTTGGTTTTTTTTTAAAAAAAAGAATCTTACAAGTATACCTTTTTTCATCCTTCTGAGAAGAAAAAAAAATTCCCTCTTTCCTACAAGTGATATCGATTCAGTAAAAAATGAAAATGAGAACACATATATAAATGCAATACCAAGAAAGTAATCAGGCCAGGAAGGCCTCTGTCAGTTTCACCCTTATGAATACACCCTGAGACAGGAGCTTTGAGTTTTCATCTGAACGCCAGATGGCTGTGCGTCCACTCAGCCATCTTTTCATATCTGAAGCTCTTTGTGAACAAGGCTGTGGATATGCAAGAGGGTAGTCTGAGTTTAGAATCAGATCCTATGATCCACTCACGGCTCACGAGACTTGGGATAGGGAGAGCAGACGTATTATTTTATTAAATGTTGACCACGTCCTGATGCAGTCAGACTAAGAACCAGCTATAATCTAAAGTAAAGGGGATAGGTAAGAGGATTTTGAATACTCATATTTTTCTTAAAAGAGATTCATGCACTTAAATCAGGAGAACGTTTCCTTTCTTTTTTTTTTTTGAGTTGGAGTCTCACTGTGTCCTCCAGGTTGAAGTGCAGTGGCACACTCATGGCCACCGCCTCTACTTGCTGGGCTCAGGCGATCCTTCTACCTCAGCCTTCCTACTAGCTGGAACTACAGGTATGCACCACCATACCTGGCTAGTTTTTTGATTTATTATAAAGACGAGGTCTCGCCAAGTTTCCCAGGCTGGTCTTGAACTCGTGGACTCAGGCAATCCTCTCATCTCGGCCTCCCTAAGTGCTAGGATTATAGGCATGAGCCATCACACCCGGCCTGAACATTTTCTTGATTGATATTTTAGAAGAATCATAATTTACAAAATTCATTGCAAAGCCCATTCCTGGCAAATTGTAAGAAGACCAATATTTTCAAAGCATATATATAGAGCCAATGCTATATTTCCAGGGCAACTTTTTAGGGTATGCAATCAAAACTTAATGCATGAGAGGCAGGAACAAGATGGTTTACATCCATTCTTAAGGCCATATTACACATAGGAGGCAGACTATATCGTGGATCATACCTCTGTTTGGTGTCCCAAGGGGTTTCTAGGGGACTGTGATTTGCAAATAAGGATCTCAGGCTGGTGAGATCTCAGGATGGCCTGTGAGATGGAAGGGGTCATGGAGCTGCCAGGGAACTAGTCTAATCCAACCCACTGTGGTCTATTTCCAAACATGCCTCAGTCACTCGGAGAATTCTTTCATGCACACTAACAAGCATTCTTTATTCCTTTACCCAAATAAAGGCCAAAATGCATGAGGAAATAAAATCCAAAATTCATTTTTTAAATTAAATTTTTAAAATTTTATTTGAAAAATACAATACACAGCAGAGAATTATTTTCTCCCTACTGCTCTTTCACAAAGGAAACTGTATACGGTTGATGTAACTGAGATATTTGGCTAGGATCGATCCTGAGAAAAGAGAGGCCCAGTTAGAAGTGGAATAGACAAGGTCTGTCAAAGAAGATTCACCTCTCTTTTAACATAAAAGAGCCTTTTAAGTTATCATAGGAATCAGATAAAACATGTGCAGAATTTCTGCCATGCAAACAGAGACTACTGAAGTTTTCAGGTTGACCAATTTATACTGACCTGGGCCCCAAGTAAGTAGAATAAAAAGAAGATGTCTTTATCAGAAAGATATGTGTTTGCCTGCTAGACTACATATGTACATATTTACATCTCAGTATTTTCTCAACTGTGTTTTTTCAACACTCTCCATAACATGCTCTACTGGCATTTGCCTTATCCTCATGTAGCTTTTCTTTCTTTTCCTGGATTTTCTTCGTGACAAGATCTTTCATTGTGCAATCTTGGGTCCATCATGTTTAGACATTAGAGATGATCTTACTCTGATTCGAAATTAAATATGGATTTTTGAGGAATGTATAACACCGGCATTCAGACCAGGTTTATCAAAGGGCAAGGATATGACACTGACATCTGAACTTACAGCTGGGGCCTACAACAGGAAGATGTTCCTGCTGGTCTACTTGGAAATGAATGTAGAACAGATCTGAGTGACTCCGGATATCTTCCTGGGAATCTCACCTTCTAAGACATTAGGACCATCCTCTGCACTTTCATCTCCAGTAAGTGAATTCCCTATTACTGTTATTGTCTTTAAAATTCTTTAAAGAATCAAGGCACTCAAAGCTTGTTCATGTTCTCAATTTCCAACAGAACTGAATTGCTCTGGGGGTTTGAAATCTTTCACTTTTTTTTTTTTTTTTGGCCCTAATAGAAGTGTTTAACTCTCTCAGTGATGGGAGTAGGGAAGTAGCCACTATCTGGGGAGTAATGAATACTCTTTGGTTATATTTATTTGCTGGTTTCTCTTAAAATGACATAGAAAATGAAAAGTTTACTTTCTTTAGTACTGTCAAGGCTAGAAAGGTTCATTTCAGTCAATTAACTACTGCTCATGTAAGCGTAAGTTACTCAGGGGAGCTTTAACATTGCAAAGTGACTGCTGAGGAGCTCATCTTCCTTACAGCGTGATGATGTTCACCCTTGATGCCACATGCTCAGTGGAAGGGCTATCCTCAGGGACTCTCCTGAGAGGGGCCAGGACCCGAGGGGAGGGTGGAAGAGGTACAGCAGAGTCAGACTTCACTTTTACAAAGGACCCCACATCTAGATGCTCCATGTGTACTATTTTAAAATAGGATGATAAATAAGTTACTATATAGTGGAGATTTGAAAAGTGCTCATTCTTAAAACACACATATTTAAAATATGGCAGAACTTGCCTAGCCCTTTTGGCATTTCTTCATTTTGGGGTCATGGGCAGACAGTTGCCCAGGACCCTACGACCTCTGGAAGGCCTTGGTGTCCAACACCCTATGGCAGCTGTGGTACATTTGGAAGGAACGCGAGTTCAGGGTCAGAAAACCCAAACTTTCGTTTCAGCCATGGCTCTTACTATTTAGAGCGGGATGGTGCACATTATTCACCCTGTCTTGGCTCCATTTTTCTTACTTATAAAAATATAGCCATACCCTGAATGTTTACACCAGGCTATTATGAGGATTATATAAAGTAATAAGTGTATTTTGTAAACTATAAAGTACTACATAAATGCAATGCAAAATACATTAATTATATTTCTAGCATTTGTATAATTTAAATTATGTATCAGGATGTGGCCCTTTCCCCATTTAAATTATGTGAACTCTTAACGAGTAAAAACAGAGCCTTTGACCACTCCCAAGGAGCTGTTACCTGTTGAAAATTATTCAATAAGAAGGTACCAGTGCACAATTTACTCACTTAAACTGCCCTAAATATTGCCTGCATTCAAAAGCCATCAATTAAACCACAATTGTCAGGAGAAGAAGAAGTCCAAATAAATAATTTTTAATTATGATACATTACTTATTACAGTAAAAATTGGCATTTTCCCCTTCAAAAGCAGAAGCACCAGTCTTAGAATGTATAGTAGGAATATTTTAAGTGAAATATAGCATAATATAATGTGCAAACATTATTTTAGTATAGAACATACTTTCTAAAAGTAAAGTAATTTCACACACTGAAATCTGTTAGAATGGAAATAATGTCATGCTGAATAATAAAATAAAAACCCCCATGACTTTCAAAGTCCACTTCAAATTAGGTATGGCATACCCCTGAAGAGATATATGAAAAATTTAAAACACAACTAGCCCAAAATAGAGGGTTTTCGTATATAATTAACAATTTGTGTAGGGGCTTCTTTTAACACAGTCACAGTGGTTCTGTGAGAAACCGAAGTGAATGTTTTATTGGAAAGTTAATTTGCTCATCCGATCATCACATTTTTATTGAGCACCTGCTTTGTGCTCAGCTTTGCGCAGGTGCCGGGGATGCAGAAAAGAAAGACATAGTCCTGCCCTCGGGGAGCTCACAGTCTAGTGGGGGAAGCAGGTTGACATGGACTTGAAAATTATAAAAGTTTTCAGACGACTTTATAAGTTTCTCGTGTAGTCAAACGAACGTTGGGTGTGATGAATGGATGGTAAAAAGGGATGACGTCCAGTGCAGTGACAAACCATCTGCTTCAATATCATGTGACCTCTGCGAAGGCAGTGATGTGGTTCTGCAGAGAGAAGGAATTGTCAAGTGAGTGACTCAGGCTGACGGGCTTGAGAAACATAGAGCACCTTGGCAAATAACCATGCCCTCATACTGGGTGTGGAAGTTGCCAAAACACACATGGTATCAAACTAAGTTCTCTGTATCGTTTCACAATTTTAGCTGCTAATGATATATTCTAGTCGATATTCCTAATCAACCAAACAGATTAAAATGTGATACCTGCTGTATTCAAAATTAACACTGAAATTTAGAGGGATAAAAATGGCAACACCAGACATGTTAATATTCCGTTTGGTGCTAATGGAATTTTAATGCTGCATGTTGGAGTTTTAGATTAATTGCTCCCTGGGAGACAGATGGTGTAGTATGAGGTGGTGAAATTCTCAGACCGAAATGGCATTTGCTAGTTGATAAAAATCTACTTAAATGCTTTATTTTTGATGCATGAATTCAGACTCCAGACTGCAACCTCTGTTGTTTACCTCAATCATATAATTCTTTTCAGAGCCTTTTTACTATTTTTATATTTTTTTAGAAAAGCAACAGAATTGTATACAAAGAAACACTGTGGAATGATTAGTATTTAAATAGACTCAGGCATACAACAGGCATGTCATGGCTGCAGAAACACTGCAGTGAAAAATTACAATTACATAATTAATCATGCCACATAGGGAATTATGTCAAGACCTAACATGACTGACAGCCCAAGCAAATAACAGCAACATTACAAAGGAGTTCTGCCATCACATTACGCATTTTGAATGTTTTTTCTAGAAGCTTTTACATTGGCTTCTTACAGCACAATGATATAATAAATAGAGTTTCATATATTGAATGTATGCCATGACATTTACTCAACATACACGCATGTCTTTTCAAGTTAGATTAAGTGTTTTAATAAGTTAAAATGTATTTAAAATATATGTAAATAAATTAAAATCCATTTTCATTAAATTTAGGCATATTAACCTATATTAGAAGAATATCATTGGCTATAGAGCACTAGAAAAATAATATTAGTAAGAATCATTAGTGAGCAGAGCATGCTGACTTTTTCACTAGCTCCTGATAACATCTTAGAAACTGTAATCTCTTATTTTAAAATGCATAATGAAAATGTCAGGAAACTCAGCAACTCATCTCTCAGTTTTGAGTTTTCCTTACAAAAGTGCAGGCATGACTTTGGGACAAAAAAACTTGTCAGAGTTTATATAATGTACTATGACTGAATAAAAACCATAAGAACTGTGGAAATAATACATCACAGTTTTATTTCCAGTGATCCCACAGGAACTTAAAACTGGTGAACTGAGGAAATACAATTCGATAGAGTGTTTCAGCACAAAATCGCCATGACTGCCACACCTCTGGACAGGACCTTGCACAAAGTAATTGCTGGAAAGGCACTAAGATAGACATGGAAGATTAGTCAGTCAGCGGTCGCTGGTGGATAGGGAAAGGGTAAAGGGGGGCAGGAGAGAGAGAGGAAAGGAGGTGGAAGTGGAAAGAAAGTGGCATTCCTAAGGACATCGACCCAGGCCTCAGTGTTCCTGCTACTGCCCTAGATAACGGAGAATCCATAAGGTTCTTTGAGATGACCTTCAGGATTAGCCATCACCCTGGAAGGTGGAATAAAAGATTAAAGTCCTTAATAAAGCACAGAGATGATCGAAAAAAAACCCACTGAGGACCAATGCAAAGCTCAACAAAAGCAGGGGAAAAGCCAAGCACACACATGCACAGAGAGTGTGGCAAGGAAGGTACAGAAACTGTAGGTGACCACATAATTTACCATCTCAACATGACACATGGAAAGGGTAGGGATGCTCAGCATACACAGGGAAAACAGGCATAGATCAGGACTGCCCCGAATAGGGAGATAAGTTCACTTTATTCTGTGGCTCAAGTGTGCTCCTCCAAAAGCATTTGTTGGACAGTTAAGCCCCAGTCAAATGGTGTTGGAAGGCACAATGAGAGGTGCTTAGACCACGAAGGCTCCACCATCAAGACAAAAGCAATACTGCTATCACAACGGTTGCTTGTTATGAAAGGGTGAGCTTGGATCCCTTCTCCCTCATACTCTCTCTCTTGCCCTCTCTTTGCTTTTCCGCCATGACATGATGGAGCAGTAAGGCCCTGACCAGATCCCAGTCCCTCAGTCTTGGACTTCCCAGCCTCTGGAACCACAAACTCATGAATTTCTTTTCCACATAAATTCCCCAGTTCATAATATTCTGTGGTAGCAGCACAAACCTTAGTAATGAAACACCAAACCTGTAACAGTAAGTATGCTATTGAGATCTAGAAAATATCAGAATTCAGTCTTGGCATCTAAAACCACATGCTTCAGTGGCCATTAGATCTTCCTCTCACTGCCCATGCATTCTACACTGTATCTGCCTTTTCCTTATGCCAAAGCATTACCAAGTTAAACCACAAGGATCATGGCTTGCTTCTAGGCTAACTACATTTTTAGATCCCATGGTTTGGGGGAAAACTCCTGGCTTCTTCCCCCCATTAGCACCCTGTCCATTTCCCAGAATACTTGTTTTAACTTCTGAGGTGATTTTTTTCCTATTGGACTGGGGTTAGAAGGATGCTGATTGGAGCTCATTTTTTTGTTGTTGTTATATATGTGTGTGTGTGTGTGTGTGTGTATATTATATGTATTATTTTAATGATATGGGGTACAATTCAGGATTAGGTATATAAGTGGATATCTTACAGGTAATGTCTGGGCCTGCCTTTGATCCCCACTTTGCTTGGTTTGAGATCAGGTACCCTTATTGAAGTTGTGTTCCACCCCCACCCCGGCAGTATACCGCTACTGCCAATCCCTTTCTTGTAGTATTGTGGTAAATGTTCAGAGTCTGCTTATGAGTGAAAACATGTGAGGCTCATCATTTTAGGGTGGGCGTAGTTAGCAGCAAGAAAATGGATGAAAACCAAACACTACCACGACTCTGTACAGGAAAGAGAAAATGGAGAGAACATTATTCATTGGTCCTGCATACATAAATGAGTATACACGGAGGCCATGCCCTCCGCTCATTCACTTCACTGTCCAAGAGCAAAGGAATCTGTATCATAAGTGAAGAATATGGAGCCTTTACCCCAGTAGGCTTAAAAAAATACATCTAATTCTCTTCTGGCACAGGGGTGTTGTTCCCTGAAGGACTCTATAGAAGAATTACTTAAGTTCTCTTCTACTTATGAGACTCTATGATTCTACATCATACAACTTAACAGCAGCCAGGGGTGCACACATCATCTGAAATACACAGGTGATGTAATTTCTGTGCAGGAAGTTATGCTAATGTTGTCTTCCCCGTCAGCATTTTTCTCAGTAATATAACAAATCGGAATTGCATTTAATATTTTTAGATCAACTGTCCTGAGAAATGGCCTGGCTAGGAGGCAAACCAACTGACAAGAGGTTTTGCTTTTCAATCTGGTTGATTCCCATGGTGCAATACTAAATCTTATTAGCAGATGATAATGTAAGCAAGCAGGAGGCAAACCAAACAACACATGCATTGAGCTTTAATTCAGAGTCACAAGAAGAAAGTGGTGATGCTCGTTGTCAGCATAACTCCTGGAACATTCCACAATTCCACATTCAGAGGTTTATTATGGAGATGACAAAACTGTAGCCCAAAGAGTGAAGATTAGAGTATACCACATGAGGCATCCATTAGAAAGTGTTCACTCAGGTCCACAGCAAACCAGTGGGCAAAATACCGAGTCTAGTCCTTGAGTGCAGGGGTCCTGTGGGAAAACACTTTGTTTCTCCAAAGTTGTTTCTGACTCTTTAATAGCATATTCATTTTTAAAAGCTCTGTGTTCAACATAAACATCTCTATTTTACCATTTATTCTATACTTCCATTTATAGAAATTATACTCTGTAATTTTATTCGGGCACAGTGACTCACGCCCGTAATCCCAGCACTTTGGGAGGCCAAGGTGGGAGGATTGCTTGTGCCCAGGAGATCGAGACCAGCCTGAACAGCATAGTGAGACCCTATCTCTACAAAAAATTTTAAAAATTAGCCAAACATGGTGGTATGTGCCTATAGTCTCAGCTACTCAGGAGTCTGAGGCAGGAGGACTGCCTGAGCCTAGAAGGTCAAGGCTGCAGTTAAGCCATGATTGTGCAACTGAACTCCAGCCTGGGCATAGAAAGAGACCCTGTCTAAAAAAAAATCTGTCTGTCTGTCATCTATCTATCTATCTATCTATCTATCTATCTATCTATCTATCTATCTATCCATCTATCATCTATCATAAATCAATTGATTTCTCTATCCAATCTCCTGTAATTTTAAAACCTGTTATTTCTGACATGTCCTGTATTCATATCCTGTATTCATGTCCTGTATTTCTGACATGAAACTTTCATGATGACTTGTCATCTGACAAGACCTGCCACTCACAATTTCCCTTTGAAAAAAAAATAAGGGAAAATGCAAAAAGAGCCCTCCAGGGAAGGATTTGGGATTATAGCCATAGAAAAACACAAAAGCATTATTAAGGTTTATTTAGTTAAAGAACACCAAGTTCCTATTCACGAGTGAAAAACAAAATGTATCTGAAAGATTGATGACAACAACAGCAAGGGCGAGCTCTGGATCAGAGTTGTGTAGTTGTCAGAAACCTGCACAGAAGGACGCGTCTCCGCACCTGCCCTCACTTCCCAGCCCAAAGACCCATGCCAGTGCGCTGCAGCGCACATACGTTTATTGCCTTAATTGGAGGTGTTCACCGTGGCTGATGCCCATGACCCAGCTGAAGAATCTGGCAAGACAGTCTTTAAAGGACCTTCCCTGTGAATTTTCTTGACCATTCTCAACGAGTTCATTTTGGGACACCTATAAAATGTGTTTTAAATGTTATTTCAATGCTTCTTTGAATGTTGACTTAATTTACTTGAAGTACTGGTTTATTTAAAGTTCTATGTTGATATATTGCTAGAACAATTGCTGAGAATGAATACTGT